GTCTTCTCCAATCTATTCCCACGAGACTTGCAATAGATTTCAAATGGTCCTCTGTACTCACCACCATTATCAACACGTACACACTTTAACTGTTTACCAGTTTCTCTTTCAATTTTGCTATAAAAGTCTTTAAACACATCCAAAATCTGATTTTTGGATTTCAAAGCAAAACACCAAATCTTTCTAGCAAAGTCATCAATAAAAGTTACAAAATAAACAGTACCACCAAGAGACTTATCTTTCATATAACAAACATCAGTGTGTACCAATTCTAACGGATTCGATTTTTGAGATGGAGAAAAATTTTAAAATGCAACTCTGTGTTGTTTTCCATATATGCAGTCAACACAGGGTTTAAGTACATTACATCTAACTTCAAGTAGGAATTGTTTGCGAACAAGTGTCTGAATTCCCTTTTCACTTATGTGTCCAAGTCGCCTATGTTAAAGGTCAATTGAGGAATCACGAACTGCATTCACTTCTTCCTTCCTCAACTTGGTTTGCATCACGTAGAGGGTACTATGCTTCTTTCCTCTGGCAACAACGAGATTTTCTTTGCTGAGTTTCCATTTGCCTTCACCTTGCAAGTTATAGTAGCACTCATCGTCAAGTTTTCCTGTAAAAATAAAGTTAAGTCGAATTTCAGGAACATGTCGAACATTTCTCAATATTAGCTGGCATCCGGTATCTGTATTCAAGTATATATCTCTCATGCCAACAACTTTACATGAGACCTCATTTTCCATCCTAACATATCTGAAATCTCCTTCGGTGTAGGTTGAGAAAAATTGCCTGTAAGAAATAACATGGTAGGATGCACCTGAATCAACTACCCAATCACTGTCATAATGAATAATATTCACCTGACCATCGTCACAAAATATAAACATATCATCATGAGCCGTCACAACTGCTGTGGTGTTCTCATCATTTTTTTTCTTCGCCTTACCCTTTTTTCAGTCTGATCCCGTTTTAGGATTCTGCACTCCTTTATATAATGCCCATTTTTTTTACAATAATAGCATGCAATATTTTTTTGCGACTTAGACTTGTCTCTGGATTTGTCATTCCTGTTGTAGAGTCCTCTACTTTTATTTCTCCCTTTTCTTTCTTTCTTTTCTGTCACCAGGGCCTGAGACTGATAGACAATTCTTTATTCCTTCCTCCTGAACTCTTCATTCATCATGGCCTCTTTTGCAATAGCTATGGTCAACACATCATTCGGAGCTAAATTACTGATAGAGACCACCATGGTTTCCCAATTATCCGGTAGTAAACTGAATAATAATAAAGCCTGCACTTCATCATTCAAATTCAAATTTAATGTAGTTGTCTGGTTTATCAATCCCTAAAAATTACTCAAGTGTTCAGTCATATCTTTCCCATCCATATATCTCATTCGAATAATTTGCTTCAGACAACTAGCCTTGTTCAAACCTGTCTTTCTTTCATACATACTCTCAAGTTTTTTTCATAATATATCAGCTTTGGTGTCATTAGCAAAATATTGAAAAATATTTTGACCAATCCATTTTATAATATTACCAACAGTTTTCTGTGTATATTAGCCCATTTTTCATCACTCATATCACTTGGTCTACATTTATCCCCTAGAACAGGTTCAAACAAATCTCTACAATACAGGTAGTCTTCCATTCTAGACTTCCAAATCGAATAATTAGTAGCATTCAATTTTATCATGCGACCACTATCCGAATCATCCATTTTTAATAGGTACAATTGAGCAGTCTAGGTACAATTGAGCAGTCTAACCTGACTGTTCTGATACCACTTGTTGGGAAAAGGGTACCAATACAGGTACACAATATCAGAATTAGCCCAGAATAAATTTTTTTTCCAAGTACTAGTTAAACTAGGAATAAACCAAATTACCAAGTAATAATACCAATAGTGATAATAAAATGCAAGAAAAAAATAAAGCACAGAACACCAAAATTTTTACGTGGAAAACCCCAATTAAAAAAAATCACGGGATCTAGTCCAGTCAAAAATCTCCACTACCACAATAATAAGAATACGCAGGTCTATCCGAAATATTCGGATGACAATAATAGCACCAATAGCAACCAAGCAAATTGCTACAAAATTACTCCCAAAAACTATAACTGTCAAAGAAGTGGGTTTGGAAAGGTGTTACCAAACGAAGAAGAAATCTGAAATTTGAACCGGTAGATGAGTAGAGTTTGACAAGAGAATCGTGTGTGTAAAATTTCATCTCAATCAGGTTCCGAATCACTCTCCAATCAAAACCTTAAAGTCTCTCTCTCTCTAGCTCTCTCTCTCTTCGTTGTTCTCTCAAAAGTGGCGGCTGACTTTTTCTCACATGCAAGGACCGAAGAATGAATTGCATCTTGCGACTGCTACTCCTTTCTATTTAAGCTTGAGAAACCCTCAAGCATTTGCATAAGTGGGAATTGGCCTGCAAATGGGCTGGTCCACACCCAACAATATAATATACTATTAATCAATAAAATTTCAGAATAATAGGAAAGCTAAAGTAAAGAATGATAGGAAGACAATCTTCTTTAAAAAAAAAAGTCAAAACACAAATTATCCTTGCAATCCTAAGTGTTTAGGAAAAATTATTGAAGTACTTTAACAAGAAAATACCTTGAATCATAAAAGAACAAAAGAAAAACTAATACCCCTTACAACAGTGTATTAAAATTATAGCAACTTTTGACCGATTTATTAATATCGTAGCAAATTACTTCACACCAAGTCTACAGTAGATAAATATTAGTACATAAAAAGTACTACTACAACTCTACCAATCACAAGGGATCAACTATTTTTGCCATTCTTGAAAAAGAATGAGTGGAATCAGCTACTTCTTGAGACAGTATTTTAAAATATTGGATAAACGCTATGGGTTTTTCCTTGTGGAAATATATTGCTGAGCTGAAGGCAGGCGAAACCTATATTTATAGTGGAAGCCAAACCAAAAGGTTCTTCTCTCTCTCCTTCTGAAGGTTAAAGCACTTTTGATTATATACAGTGGAAGCCAGTAAAACTTGATTTTTGATAATTTTGTTTATCCTCGATCCACCATGTGAAGTAACCCCTCGAATATCTTGTGAGATGAACATGAACACTGAAGCTGATAAAAGTGCAACAAGTTTTGAAAAACAGGAAGACAAAGTGTTTAATATACTTGTAATAACTCACGTGCAAAGCATGTGATTAGATCACCCTAAAACATTATATATGTTATTACTATATTTCTTTTTTGTGAAATGATAATTGTCACAATCATGATATAGTATTTTTCTTATTTTATTTTACCAATTTTTTTTACATTGAAATCATACATATCATATTTTACAAAATTTTTATATAGCTCTATATATAACTTATAGTTCAAAGTTTGACAAATCAAATAATGGTATTATGATATTCAACCAAATTTAGTAAATACTCATAATGTCATTACACTATCATTAAGATTTTATATCCACAAAACAATGTTGTTAACCAAGAAAATATAAGTAGACGTCAAGTATTGGAGCAAGAAATAGAATTTATAAATATTAGTAAAATGAAGGTTAAATTTATAAAATTGATTTCTTGAAGGTTATTATAGTAAATGAATTCATTTATTATGTTTCTATCATTCCAAGTCAGTTGTTACGCAGCATGTTTACCCCCTCGCCATGATCTCCCAATGAGAGTCTAGATATGCCTTCTTCAACTAAAATGAATGGTGAAAATTTTAGTGAAATCATCAAATTTAAACAATTGAAAAGATGATATTTGACCATTTCCTAGAGGATTTGACATAATTTCAACAATTTAAACCGTATATACAACACAGATATATCTAATCACTCTTTTCACTTTTTTATTTTTTATTTTTCCTAAGAGCAACAAATTGCTAGTATAGTTAAAGTGAGTTTATTATTTATAAATTGAATATCAGAACCATTTTTTTTTCTTAAGATTTAGGTGTCATGAATTTTCATGTGAAGTAAAACTTAAAATTTGCATAGATGCTGTTTCCATGTTCCACTATGAACACCATTACCCAGTAAAATGGAAAACATAAATGTTGTATATATAAAGTCTCATACACGGTTAATTTTTGTTAATACAATTAGCTATTGGACTTAAGTGAAACAAATTTGAGGAGTTACAGTGTAAAGTGAGAATGGGATAAAAGTTTGATGCACAAAGTGGAATTAGTCCCCATATAAATATGAGTGCAAAACGTATGAGTTTAACTTTTTTTTAACCTACTAGTTTAAGTTTTTATGTCATTGTTGAATTCCAAGTTTTATATTGAGTGTCTTAGATGGACTCTCTCAAATTTTTTACCCTAACAAAATGTGTGACTTCCTCAATTCCCCATTCGAATGATAGAATATATATATATATATATATATATATATATATATATATATATATATAGTACATAAGAAAGTCCGTGAATTCCTCAGTTCCCTATTCAAATGGTAGAATATAGTGCATTACCCTTGTAACAAGAATGTATATTTTGCTGGTACTTAATAATTTAGGCAGAGCAGTTTATCAATAAAACACACATTCTGATGCATCGATGCACTTATATAGTTATATACCAAACGCTTTCATGATTGTACAATTACCAAGTCATTGCAAAAAAAAAAAACCTCAGTACAAAAGTGAAAAAACACACTCATTTGAACAAGTAATTGACCTAATATATCCTTGATAATGCTTTTATCCGATTTTGGTTCGACTTTCATTGTTGTCACCAATGTTGATCCTACAATTTTTAAGAGACAAGGGCGAAGACCAAAGGTGGGAAATGGTAGTGAAGATGATTAAGCAGCAGCCAGCGCTTTATTAATATCGCAGCAAATTACTTCACATGAAGTCTAAAGTAGATAAGTAGTACATAAAACTGGACCTATTCCACTCTTGTAATCGAACTTGCAACAGTTAATATCTTATTTGCTTCATAGCATTTTGGCTGATATCTTTATGGCATGCCATATCTGTCAACGCCTTCTTGCAGCTGTTTCCCTCTGGCAATTGAAGAAAACAGCAGCAACAGGAAGGCCAAGTTGATTTTCTTGTGCAAATTTCTCGTGCTGAATCCATCTCTTGAGAGTGGTGGATTCACGTCTGTCTTCCTTTCTGCTTGAATAAAAGGAATACGAACCTGTGGATCCCTATATTTGGCCTTGGCACTTCATAACTCACCATTTCTCTCCCTGTTGATGATATAAAAAATTAACAAACAAAGGGAAAAAAAAAAGAAGAAAACCAATTTATTTATTGTGCTTTATTTCTCCCTGAATAAAAAGAAAGAACACATACCAAATGAGGAATCTGTCGTCCCTGGGATGTCTGTGACAATCCTGCATGTGGTTAAATCAAGTTCAGAGTTGTGTGTCATCATATAGTTTGCCAAATATTTGTGTGTAATCACATAGTATGCCAAATATTATCAATAATGTTTTCTTTGCCAAAGATTTTCATTCCCTTGAGTTAGCTATTTTAGACATTTATGCCAAAAAATTTGCTGATTGAGAGACTAAGATTTAAAACCAAGCCTGGCTTAGTTTGTTCAACTACTAATTAACATGCATCTATAATTTCATGCACAGTGCATGATGTCCGAATTTCAAAGGTTACTAAGAATTACCATCAAGCTCAAGGTAAGTTCTAAGAGTGTCCATATTATCTTCTCGTTTCTTTCATCTCCTCCCAATTTTACTTTATTTTTTATTTTTAGGGTTTTTCTATTCTTTACCTGAAAAGTGCACAGAACAACAAGCACATAAAAGAAAGGAATTGGCCCATGCCAAAATTTTTACATTACCAACCGTCCCCTAAGTTGAGAATGCTTTAGTGTTGAAAATTTGAACTTTTTGCAAGCAAAGTTAAACCGGATCCGAAGAGTACTTTTGTTAAAGATAATCTCTTTGTGGGGATTGACCATTCCCATGAAGAAGTGATAGAATGATTTCTAGAATATGATGCTAGCTGATTCAGTGGGACATTTAAAACAAGCTAATCAATACATTAGAAACTATAAGCATAAATTAATGGATAAGTACATAACTAAAAGAAATGCAGCTTGAGCTCATGCAGTAGGAACAAAAAAAGGCAACAGCTCCGTGTTTCCGGGGGGTCTACCAATGAAAGATGAAATTTTACTATTGGAGCTGTTATATTGTGTATAAGTTAAATTTGACAGCTTTATTTCAGATGCTTCATCAGCAGCTAGTATAACATGTTATTTATTCACTGTTTCATACCAGTGCAAGTGCTCTCTAAGGTATGGATCACTGGGACCAGGAGCATCAGGATCAGTCATAACCTGCAAGATCAAAAGAAATTCATTGAATGTAATGGCGACTGATGGAGAACTGAAATACACAAGAAAAGTTTAGTAAATGGAGAAAGAGTTGAAGGATAGGGAAGTATGTTAATTTTTACCAGTGTGAAGAAAGATCTCATATCACCTCCAAGAACTTCAACTTTTGGTTTATTGACAACTGAGGAAGGATAAAGCTCATGCCCATTATAGACTTGCTTGTTGGAGTTGTAGGTTACTGACATCTTTACAGTCGGGGAGATGTTGTCAACAACATCCCCAACAATCCTACCAATTACAAGGGGTCTGCTACTTTTGCCATTCTTGAAAAAGAATGAGAGGAATCAGCTATTACTCGTGAACGTACTTGAGAGATTGGACAAGACTATGGTTTTTTTCCTTGTGGAAATCTGTACTGAGCAAAAGACAGGGAAAACCCATATTTATAGGGGCTAGTTGCACACGAATTGCACGGCTCAGGCACCTTGAGGAAGCAGGTTAAAACTGAATTCTATTAAAAAATGTTCAAAAGTGGAAACAAAAGGGAAAGGTTCTTCTCCCTTTCATTGGTTTAAGTCTAATATGGGCTTTTGTAGCTGTAGAATGTATAAAGCACGTTTAATTATATCAAAACAACAGGAGAAACTTGATTTGACAAGTTCAGTTACATCTCCCACGCTTTATCCTGTAAACGTACCCCATTGATTAACCCCCTCGAACTCCTGTGAGGTGAACGTTGGAGCAGAGAAAAGTGTCACAACTCAGCTGTTAGATTGCTTTACCCGTATGTGACTTCCTCAGATTCCGATTCCAACTGTAGGATATAGTGCATGCCCTCGTACAAGAATGTATATCTACTTCTTTTGTACTAAAAGTTTTAAGAGAATTGGGAAGATTACCTGATTCTGTGTGTAACATTGCAGTTTACATTTCTTGTACCAAAAATGTATATTTCACATAACACCTATTAACGGTTGCTACCATCAACTTTTGGGGGACATGTACAAAAAGTAATCTGAAAATTCTGGTAGATATATCTCCACAGCATGATTCAAATTTTTGTAGATATTCTTGAGGTCCCTCATCTATCTTGATTTTATGGTTGTGTACGATTTTAGGTATCTCTCTTTTGTCCATTTCATTTTGTTTTTCACGCAGTTGTACGTCTTAAGCGAGGATCATGTTACCCTTCATAGTTTTTATGGTATGAAAGGGAAGGTGAAAAAGAAAGTGGCACACATAGTCTCTTATACATCATAATTGACCAATTAAGTCCTTTATCTCGACAACGGTAGCTAGTGTAGTATTCTTAACAATAAATTAGCAAAATCGAATTACGGATCAAATATGTGCACTGTGCATGTACCTAGAAAGGGAGGTTAATCAACGTAATGGTTCCTTACATTTTGAAAAACTTCTTTTCCAATCCTTCATATTAAAAAAGGAGCAAAATGATCCCTTGTTTATACAAAACATGCTATTTTGATCCAAGAACTCATTTCTAGCCAATTTTCTGGCTATAACTTAGATTGAATTATTAATTTATCACCTAAATTACTAAAATCAGCAGCCAAATTATTGCATTGGTCCACAACTCAAACCCACATAATTATTAACTTAAACAAGTTGGAATCAATTTAATTTTGCTGCTAATCAAAAGTTTAATGTTAAACTTTGATTGATTCCAGAATTTAATTTCCTTAAGACTAAATTAGTGTTCTAATGGCAAAAACCTCATATGCTGAGCATGTGACTACTTTGATGAAAAATGTTGTTTTTTTCATTTTTCCTCAAAAATTATGGGCACATGAATAGTTTGTACCCTTTTTTTGGTCAAAAAAGTTGGTTTGGAGACCAAAATGGCATTTTGCACTGTTTTAAATGTAAGAAACCAAAAAGATATTTTTCTTGAATGTAAAGGACCATTTTGGCGATTTTTCTTTGTGTATTGATGATACACATGAGTGCACATCACCAAATCCATAGCATTTATCCAATTTTCCATCAAGAGTTCTAAGTCGGTTAAATTTTGTCAAGATAATGGACTAAATTAGCTAATTATGATAGATGAGGGACTACATTAGTTAATATACCAAAAAATAAAACTGTAATTCTGCTTAGATTCATCATTCTAGCTAATCCTATTCACGAACTTTTGTCGATTACAAAATGGAGACAGTGTGATGTTTGTTGAGTATTGTACACACGACTTCCTCTACTCTACCCCTACACAAGAAAGGGGAAGCAAAGAGAGAAACTGTTGAACTCCAAAAATGCTTGTTGATGTTCAAAGTGGCATGCATCGGGTCTTCTTCCACTCGCACACCTTCTTCTCTGGCGCATTCTTCTCTTACAATAAAGGCAAAATTTTTCTTCAAAATAGCTTTCGATGCAGGCCTTGTTTGGATTGCAGTTTTCTATAGAAAAATTTTATTTTTTATGAACATATTTTTTAATTATTTTTTATCTTATATATATCAAATCGTTACAATATACTTTTCTATAAAAACTTCTAAAAGTATCAGTCCAAATGACTCGTAAATGCCAGTATTGCTTTCAATGCATTTTTCATTACCGAGGACTCAGATTTTCTTCGAGGAGCGTCCAACGAGCTAATACTGTAAAGCAACCTGGTATCGTTCTGTCATATATATTGATGATTCTGCATCATCATTTGCCCCATACCTTTCACTTGGTTGTGAAATAAAAGCAAAAGGTAGTCTCGTCGTGGTGTCTTTCCTACACTCAATTTTCCTCTGCCCCATATCTAAAATTTGTGGGCCAAAAGTACTAAGTGTGCGTGTGTGTCCACCACAGTCCACAGGAGCTTTCAATCCAGTTACTGTTGGGACATTCTCAAGCTGCTAAATCATCAAAACTTTAGCATTTAAGGCAAAGGACAGACAAAACCTCCTCTATGGTGTCTTTAGAACTTTCCCAGAGCAGACAAGGTTTCTACTTATGGAAGCCTTTAAAAGAAGAGTGCACGAGGGTATAAAGGAATTCCGTGGAAAATGTCGCAAAGAACGATAGTGAGAGTGTGACAGGTCATTTCAAGAATGAGAGAAGAATTGATTGGTGCAATTTCTCTACTTGAACTATTAAAAAAAATGGTAGCACAATACTCAATAAATGGAACCCCAAAATTAACATTTCTTTTTTCTAAAAGTCTGTTAGGGAGAAAAAAATTCTGAGAAAGCCAGCTAAAGAGGCCATCTAAGCGAACTCACATAAAACGGCCAATATATAAATCACAAATTCAACGTAGATCCAAAAGTTTAAACTGCTAGCTCGTCGACCTTTATTTCCATATTAAGAGTTCTTTTTCTGTCTCACAGACCCATTCTTTTTTTAAGATCTAAATACCATTGACTCTTTCATTTAACATCAATCAAATCCCTTGTCAAACTCTCGGTACACTTAATCTAACACTAGTCAATCTTTACGATACTTTTGGTCCATCATCAATAAGAAAATTTCACCAACCCGAATCCGAGAAAAATTCACTTGCCAATGAGTAACCAACTCATAATCAAAAGCCTCAAACACCTTACCAAACTCTTGGTGCACTTGGTCCAATACCAGTCAAATTTCATGGCACTTTTGGTCTACAACCAAGAAAAGAATCTCACCAACCCAATTCTAATAAGAATCCACTTACTAATGAGTAACCCAACTCATAGCCAGAAACTTTGATACCACGTCGAGAAGAATTCATTTGTCAATGAGTAACTCAACTCGCTCACTTTGATGCCACGTTTGATAAGAATCACTTGCCAATGAGTAGCCCAACTTGTAACCAAAAGCTTTGCCTTGCTAATTAGTAGTTGTAACTAGAAGCCTTGATATCACTTTGATAGAAAAATTTACTTGCCAATGAGTAGCCCAACTCATAACCAGAAGCTAACCAAATGCCTTGCCAATTAGTAGCTTCCACTTGTAACTAGAAGCCTTGATATCACTTTGATAGAGAGAATTCACTTGCCAATTAGTATCTCCACATGTAACCAGAAGTCTTGGATATCACTTTGACGAAGGATTCACTTGCCAATGAGTTAGCTCAACTCCGCTTTGATACCACCTCCGAGAAGGATTCACTTGCCAATGAATCAGAAGCTTTGATACCACTTGGACTACTTGTAACCAGAAGCTCCTATTAAGAAGGAAGAAAAAATCAAGAAAACCCACGAAATACCCAATACGTAAGTTAGAAATTCAATATTAATTCAAAAGTTTAAACTATAAGGTTTCGAATTCTTATTTACATATTGAGCACTCTTCCTCCATTTCTCAAATCAACGTGGAATACAATTCCTACGCATGAACTTAACAAAATCACTCTTTGAAGATCTAAATTTCATGCCTTTCTCACTTGCACCTTTCTTCCTTTTTCTCCTTTGTCGCCACTTCTTTTTCCATCTTTTATTATGTAGACCTCACGTTTCCAAAAGAGAATCCACAATTTTGCTCTTGCCTACTTCTAAGTTACCTCCCTATTGCTGGCTCGAGGCACAGTGCCATATGGCTATCAATTAATTTTCTTGGTTTTTTTGTGCTCTGGGGCGTCTAATAAATATCTTAATAAAAACTTATGCATCATCAACTTTTATGAGATGAAACTTATCAAGTTGATTTTTGAGAATCATGATAATTTTCCCTTGATTATAGGTGTGTCTTTGTGAGTGCAACGTACTTGATATAGATAACGGCCAAGGATGCAGAAGCTACACCGTAAACATAACGGGAACAAAAGAGATGAAGAATCTTACTGTAGACGGACTATGCATGCAGGTTACTGAGCATTGAACTACTCCAAGTAAGTTCGAAAGACTCCAACTCTCAAAAATTTTTTTAAAGTCCAAGATAGCGGTGCTGCTCAACTGTTCAATTGTCAAGTCAAGATAGTAGGTTATTAGAGTTCTCTTTAGCCATTGACTCTAGAAATTTGTGATTTATATTGTTCTATTGTACTTCAGGTACTTTTGTTTATGATACAATTCCAATTCGATAGACCCCAAAAAAATAATAATAAAACACTCCTAAGAAAAAATTGAGTGTGAGTGGAAGTAAAAGCAACTCACCAAGTTGCAAGAGGTAGGAATTTGTTATGCCCATCTCGTGACTAGCCGTACTGGTTTTAGGATTAATCCCAAAGTTCTTCCACCACTCAGCCTCCCTGCCACCACATAATCAAGTACTTAATTAGCAAAATATTAATTGTCAAGATAATGAAAACAATATTTGAGTTAATCTAGATTTTAT